GAGGGGCGCGTTGTGGGGAGGCAGCCAGGCTTTGGAGTCCGCAGGGCTGAGGGCTGAGGGCTGGGTTCAAGGACAGGTGAAGGCAAATTCCCCTTAAACGTGGCCATGAGCTGCAGGGGCAGACTGTGCTGGTTGGGGCTGGAGCCTGGCCGTGTCCCAGCCAGCAAACACTGCTCAGTGCATCAGCCAGCTTTTATTCTTTGGTTTATTTAGATTCACTTCAGAAAAAATAAAATAAAATAATAGTAATTACTTTCCAGAAGTTTGAAATTTCCTTCATAAACTCCATCCATATAAAAATACAAACGATAATAAAATCAAGACATTCAGTGGCCCATCCAATCTCATCCTGCAGCAGAAACTGCTACTGATTAAAAACAAAAACAAAAAAAAAAGGAGAACAAAAAAAAAAAACAACCCCACCCACTCCACCATTCCAGAGAGCCAGAACCAAACCGAGGGAACTTGCCAGGACACAGAACAACTCTGCCCTGCCGGTGGCTCACAGACCTCTCTTCCAGCTCCTCAGCACACACCAGTATTAGGATGAGCAGAGGGCCTTTCCCTTCTCTTGAGCATTTTCATGCTTTTTTTTTTTTTTTTTTTGTGCTTCACAGGACCCCAGGAGCTGAGGAAAGGATTAACCCACCCAGTGCCCCTGGTTAGAAGGGGTCTGCCCTCCTCAATCACCTTCTCCAGCTGTTCTGATCAGAGTGATCTCTGACTTGCTAATTTTGCAGCGTGTGCTGGCCCTGGGTGAGGGGAGTAAGGGGAGATCAGCTCTGTGGCTACAAACCCTTATAATCTAATGTAGAAATGCAGTTATCATCTTAATATGCATAAGAAGTGAGTGATTTTCCTGAGTAGATCAGCTGCCTGCCCTCCCACCTGTGGGTGAGGAGAGGAGCAGCACAGCTGGGTGATCTCCTCTCCCCATCTCCTAAGAGAGCAGTTTGCTTGTAGTGAGGAGCATCAGCAGCTGAGTGATGGCGATGAAGAAGAAGCTGCTCTGGATTGCGGAGACGGAGTCGGTGGTTGTTGAGGGTGTGGTTGGATCTGTTTGTGGAACTGAAAGAAACCCCCAGGGTAGATTAGAAGTGCAGAGGACCAGCTACAGACCTACTTGCTGTCATTTCTCAGAAATGTGTGTCAGACCTGCCGTACAGAGTGGGATGCATGAATATATCCACTGATGTGAATGGAGAATCATCAAGTTAGGCTTGAGGCTCCTGGGGGCAGGGGATCCCCTGGACTACAGAAACATTACCAGTGATGGCAAGCCACAATTTCTACTTCACTTCTGTGTGACAGAGAGAAGAGGGGGATAAAGTCTGCGCAATACTTGCAGAAATAGCCTTCTGCACTTAGAATCATAGAATCAGTAAGGTTGGAAAAGACCTGTAGGATCATCCAGTACAACTGTCCACATACCAACACCACTGCCCACTAAACCACGTCCCTGCGTACTCCACCTGCCTTTTCCTTAAAGACCTCCAAGTTTGGTGACCTCACTGGCAGCCTGTTCCAGTGCCTGACTGCTCTTTTGGAAGGAAAATTCTTCCTAATATACAACCTGCAACTTGTCTGTGGCTGTTTAGTGTCCCTTAAAGTTGAAAATGTTAGGAAATGTTCAAGTTCAGCAATAATCCTGAAGACCTTCTTGCCACTCTGGTGTCTTTGCCTTGTCTCCTGACTACTGGAGAAATGGGAAACCCAACACCATGGCACATTGCTCAGGGCACTGCTCACCCCACTGTGGGACCACCCCACTGTACCCTATTTATTTACCTTCCTGCAGAGTCACACTCTTGAACTCGGTGGAAGTGTTGTCAAAGATTATGTATACCCTATGGAAGGAGGAAAGAGAGGAAAAAGGGCATGAAGAACAGATTATGAGATGGGATGTGTATTGTGACCACCTGTTTCTTGTAACAGTGGTGTTCCTTGCAATCATTAGAGTAACACGCTCTTGCATTCTTCCTTTTGGCAGATAAGGCCCTTCAGGTTTCCTATGGTTTCCTTTGGCAAATATTTCCACTGATGCAGCTCCATTAGTGTTCATGGAAAAAAGGGGTGTTCAATCCCTTAATTTCCATTGAACTAATTTACATCCCTATTGATGTGAGGAAACCAGCAGGATGGCAGTGGAGAGACCTCCAGATCTGGCTTTGCCGGAAATATTTCCTCGGTATTCTCAAATGAAAATCTGGAGCAGGCACAAGGGTTTGTCACAGCTGCTGCTCTGGGGGTGGGATCCTGACTGTGGGCATTACCAGAAGCTGGCACAGGAAAGTACTATCCCAGCTGGATACTCAAAGGTGGGCATAGTGTTACCTTATTTCCACGGAAGATATGTTACTGCTTAGAGATGTCCAGTTTGCTGTTGCCAACAGATCTTCGGAGGCATTTAACATTGCTGTGTCAACATCACTGCAGTTTAGCACGTCTGTTACGTTCCATATTCCTGCAGTGGTATTTTCAGGGGACAAGGCTTGAAGTAAATACATGGTCACATTTCTGTCAGCAGTGTGGTTTCCTTCATCACTTATCGTAACTGCAAAGAGAGCAAGGGAGACAAGGTAAGTTGTCTGTCCTGTAGGACAGCTATCTCAGATCCCCTGCCTTCAGGGCTTTCAACCAAGGGAGTGTTTGCTGGCACAGGGCTCTCTATGTGACACAGAGGCACAGGGAGAATGGTGTCCCCCTGCTAAAGCAAGAAGAGCCCCTCACCTCCCCCCTCCTCCTAAAAGAGGGATCTCTTCAGTCCCAATCTGCACTCCCTGCTATGGAGGATGACGACACCAAACCAAACCACAGCTCCAGTGAGGAAACCTTTTCTGGCTCCCACGCAAATGGCAGGGGTGGAAAATGCACAGGGGATGAGCTGGTGAGCAGCCCACAGCTGACTGTGCCATCCCCACCCTGTCGCTTTCCCCACTTCTCCATCCCAGGTTGCTGATTCACGGCTGTGACAAGTCTGCGCAATGCTGCTGTGCACCACGCTGCTACTGCGGGCAGCAGTGGGGCTGTAAGCACACGGAGCAAGGGGAGACCTGCCTGCCAGCATTCAGCTGTGTACAGCTGTGTGTCCCACATGGCTGTAGCCCTCCTGGCCCTCAGAGTCCTTTGGGTGAGAGTGGCTTCAAGTGAAACCACTCAGGACTGCCAGAGATAGAGGAGATGGCAGTGTCAGTCCCAAATCCTCCACTCAGAAAGAATCATAGCTCGAAGTAACAGGTGTAAGCAAAACCCTCTCCTGTGAAAAATGCAGCCACCTGCAGTGGTGCTCCCTGGGGAGAGGCACGAGGGAAGATGTGCCTGTCCATCCCAGCAGAAAAGGAAGGGCTCAGGGTGTCCTTCTTTCCCTGCTCTCAGCGTTCGGATTTCTGAACCTCAAGGCAAAGGGATGCCTGTTGTCAGGTCTGGGAAGCAGGGCAAGGCTGCCATGTATGCTGGGACTGAATCTCTTACAGGATTAAAAGCCATTTTCTGTGATTGATGCTGAATGTGTGTCAACTGCAAAGCAACATCCTTTTTGTCTGTAGAGCCATTACTGCCAACAAGGGCAAAACTCAAGGAGGAAAGGGAACAAAACCACAAAGCAGCACCCCTCAAAATTCTGTGTTTTTGAGTCCTTTGTGTTTTTTGGCCAAAAGGTTAAGGTGGAAAAAAAAAAACCCAAGGAAGGAAAGAGAATTTGAGGCTGATTGTATAGACATGGAATAGGAATAAACAGGGGACAAGTAGGAGAGCTATCTCCTGCCTGAAGTAAAGAAAGCATCATTAGGCCACACAGGTTCTGAGCACATCTAAGAACAGCTTAAGATTCAAGGATGCCACAGGGTTAGGGGCAGCAGAGGAGACACAGTGGGATGGAAGATGCTTACCCTGGTAGCTTGTGTTGGCCATGTACTCCTCGGGCGTCACGGTCACTGAGAAATTGCTCTCAACTGAGAGATCCTTGACAAACTCACATCCTTCCTTCTGCAGGTACGCAGGGATGAGCAGAGTCCCGAAGAGGAGGAATTGCAGCAAGAAGTGAGCTGCCATCATCCTTTTGGATGTCCCTGCTTCATGCACCTGGGAGCTGAGAAAGCCTGACATTTCCCAGCCCATTTATATGGAGATCTTGATGAGGTAAATGCAAATATTTCCCCCTCCCCATCCAGCTTGTTGTACACACCCCTGGTGGGAGGTTTCTCATGATTTTAGAGATTACTTCCTCCTGGCTGCTTGGCCTCTAGGTGAACTGTTTAAAATAAAGGGGTGATGATCTGTGCGGGGGTAAAACCCACAGCAGGTGTATCATGGGGGAGTCCCAGGGATGTAAAGCAAGTCCCTGCTCGCCTGCTCCCCTGAGCCGCTTTTGTGTGCATTTGTGCAGGAGTCTCCATGACCTCTGCAGGAACCGCAGGCCGTGGAGACATGGAGCAGCACTGTGCTCCCACTGCCAGCCCCTGCCCTGCTTTCCTTAGCGACCAAACCAACCCATGCTGGCAGAGGTGTCTGCAGACAGCTGGCTCAGCGAAACTCCTCGGATAGTGTTCTGTGCAAAACAGCCCGAGCTTTGCTCATCTCTCCCTCTGTGCTCCCATGGGCTGTTGGCAGGGATGTCAGAGTCTGGCTTTTGCAAGCACTCCTTGAGCCATTGGGGAGGTGACGGCGTGGGCTGGCGGTGTCTTTCCACCCTGAAACCCAAGGTGCAGCACTCATCAGAGGTGTGGGGCTCATCAGTGCTGGTGGCAGGCCTGAGTCAGCAGGGAATGGTTTTCCTGCCTCCATCTGCCCCATGCTGGCAGCTTGCAGAGGCCCTCACTGCAGTTCTGCTGAACCCATCTGAATTCTGCCCAGCCTATTCTGGGCTGGGAAACACCTCAGTGCATTCCTTTCCCCTTCTCATCTTCCCTTTTTCCAACATCAAACCATCTCACACAGGCAGCTCCCTTTCACCCCTCCTGTGATGTGTGTGGTTGTGTTCAACATTTCAAACAAAAGCTGAGCAGAAGTGAAAGAAAGTACCAGAAAGAGAATAGGTGAGTTCAGGAAATACAGGTGAGAAGGAAGCAGCAGGGAAGAGTGGGAGAAAAAGGGGTTGCGTTGGGAAAGGTGGTGTGTTCTTGGTGACATTGACATGGGTCAGAGGTAAACTTTACCCTAATGCAAAGGGTATGGAGAAAATGAGAGATCGAGTTCTTTTGGCTCATCAAATTGGCTGAGGTCGTGGCCACGTTTCCTGGTCATTCCTCCCTTTCTCCTACGTGTCCCTGAGCAAAGGAGGAAGGAAGCCAGAGGGTCATGGTCCCTCACAAACAGGGTCTGCCGCCCTGCAACAAACAGCTGGAGGAGCTCAAGAAAGGAAGGCAGCCAGCCGTGAGGGGATGGAGAGGGGAAAAAGCAGAGCAAGGTGGAAGCAGAGGGTTTTGCTAGCACAGCCTCACTGCTGTCTATTTGCCCTTGGGGGTTTCACACATGGTCTCCTTGCAATAGCTCTGCGCCATTCTCTGCCAGTGAGGATGAGTCAGACTGGTGTCACTGGAGGAAGGGGTGCTGGAAACAGATGCATTTGCTTCTGAGAGAGCGATTCATTTTGGAGAAAGAAAGGCAGGATGTGACGGTGTCACATATATCACAAGGAAGGTGATAACCATCACCAATCATCCAAAGCAAAAGAGATCTTTGTAAGCAGCAGTGGAAGTTGTGCGTTACACGATGTGTGCTGTGTGGGGATTTACAGTTTTGTTCCTCAACTGTGCAGATAGGTGAAAGCTGTATTTTCCATGGGAAGGGGAAAACTGATATCTGTCACGCTGAGGGGACATAGCCGGGAGGATAGCTGGGGGAAGCAAAAACATGGAGATTTTTAGCTCAGAAATGGCTTCATGATCTGATTCATCTGGGGATGAGCCCGTGTCCCCTCTTGGCAGATGGACAGGAGGTGTTCTCTTGCCCTTCTTTCTCCTTGCAGGCACATGTGCTGTGGCTCCTTCCCCACCCTATCTTCTGTGTATTATCTGTGTATTAATTAAACTGAAGCTGGAGCTGCAGTTTCCACGGGCTTCTTTCAAGGTCGAACCATGACCACTTACAGCCTTGTGCTGTTCTCTGCATTCCCACAGGAGGTGGCTTCTACCTCCCAGAACCGGCAGTGACAGGAGCTGGGCCCTCACTTTGCCTTTCTGGAGGCTCTCACAGGGTGCGTAAACAGCCAGACTGTGGGATCTGACCATCCCTGGGGATGCTCACGCAGACCTTTGACCTCTGCTTGGTGAACTGGGACAGGGTCTGCTCCCCACTCCCTTCCTCACATCAGCTCCACTCCTTTTTTTGTCTTCCCCAGGGATAGATGCACCTTCCCTGCCGTGGGCAAGGACTGGAACAGGCAGGCAGTATCCTGAGGTCCGGGCTGTGCGGCAGGTGCGGAGCTTCAACCCCACAGTGCTGCTGGCCTGAGGGAGAGCAGGAGCTGGGAAAATGAAACTCACAGCAGCAGCCGGCATGTGAGGGAGCACCTTTAGCAAAACCCAGAGGTACAATAAACCACTGCACGCAACAACCTGCTCCCATGATTTACAGCAGGACCGGCACCAGCTGTCCCGTGCGCACTGTGGCTGAACAGGTGATGCCATTGGAGTTGAATGGGACAGAGCTAGGGCCATGCAGAGTGCTGGGGCTCCTTCCCAGCCCCCCGGGTGCTGCAGAAAGGCGTTGTGAGGCTGCTGGCCCTGCTCCAGGCATGGGTGGTGCCTTTGCTTCCATCTACCCCTTATGGCTTTATTGGACTATTTATTTGCTCGAGGTGAACAGCAGGTAGTTGAGGTTTACTGGTCTGCTTTACAAATGGTTTGTTTGGTAATGGTGGGGTGTTTTATTGCTGCCGGGATGCTGAGCTAGTTTTGAGAGATCCCTTGTGCTGTGCATGGTGTGTGGCACATCCCACCTGGCCGTGCTCTGCAGCAGTGTCCTGGGATCACAGCAGCTCTCTGGGAGTCACAGCAGCTCTGGGCTGGGACTTCAGCACCAATGAGGAACACGTTTTACAGCCACCAGGAGGGAACTGCGAGGCCACTATTCCCCTGTGCAATACAGGATTGCTGCAGGGAAACATCCCATGGAAATGTCCTGACCCTCTGCCCCAGCCCCTGGGATGGTATTTCCCCATAAAGACTTTTGGCCGGATTGATAGCCCTGGAGGGGCTTTATCTGGGTATGAATAAAAAAAAAGAGGATTGTTCTCTGCATTTGCTTCTGAGAGATGAAGTCCTGAAGACCTCTTTGTTATCTGCATCAGAAAGGCTTGCAGGGCAGGGAGGAGGGAGTTTGCAAAAGAAAGGCTTTGTAAAAGGGCACTTCTCTAAAGGGAGAAGTTTAAGAAGGGAATTTTCCTGCCGGCCTCCACAGCCTCTCAACACTTCCATATTCCAGCTTCTGGCTTTCTGTTCTCTTCTCTGGCAGGTTGCATTGGTGCAGCTCCCCACTAAGCCAGTCAGAGTCCTGTGACTGACCCTGCCCCTGCCCTCCATCCTCCATCACAAGTGGCAGAGGAAATTGCAGCCAGGGCATCTCTGCTGCCACCTGCAAGCCCCTGGCCCTGTGTGGTGTCTGCTTTTGGCACATCTCCTACCTGGCTTTCCCATTGCTGCCAGCAAACTGTCTCCTGCTCTGGCACATGAGGGGTTTCTGGGAGTTTCACCATCTCCCTCCTGCTAACTTTGCACAGGAAAGGGAAAGCCATCTGCCTGGGGCAGTGCAGGTGCTCAGTGCCATTGCGAGCAGACCTGGAGCGAGGGCAGAAACCAGCACTGCATCAACTTCCCATGGAAAGGAATGTGCCTGGGTGACACTGGAGCACTGCACATCGCCAGAGAGCAGAGCAGGTGCTCAGCTGCACCCTGTTAGTGCTCCCCGTGCTTTATTTGCCTTGTGGGCAGTGTGTTTGTCCAGAGGCACTACCAGGCTGCACCCCTGTTTGCAGAAGGCCCACGGCCGCTGCAGTTCGCAGGGCTTCTGCGTTGTGCTGCCCAGCTCAGGGAGCCCAAGGGAGAAGCGGCTGATGGGTGAGGTGCCGTGCTGCCCAGCAGATGGCAGCAACTTTCCACAGCCCTGGCCGAGGATGCGGGCACTGCTCTGTTATCCCTGCTGCAGCAGGGCTTGGGCCAGAGGGACCTGAGGATCCCTTCTACCTCTGCCAGTTTGTAGTTTTGCATCCTGGCCAGGCACGGACAGCTCTGGAGGTGATTAGAGTCAGAGGAACATGGCAGAGAAAGGACATGGCTGCAGCCCAGTGGTGTGAGATGCCCACAGCTCCCATGTTGTCCGTCTCCACATTTCACGCTGGGGTGTGCCGTGTTCAAGGCAGCTCTGAAGGGTGCTGCGGATGGGTCTATAAATCAGGCTGGGGCTGAGCTGACCTCTTTTGATCTTGCGGCGGTGGGAAGGGCTCTTTGAGTTGTTGTGGCAAAGGTATAGGGGAAATCTGGGCTGGGGGAGGAGGGAGGAAGCAAGAGGGATTTGTATGCGTGAGGTGAGCCAGGGACTACAAGGTGAGCAGTTTGGTTGGCTCCAGGTCAGCTCCAGCTGCAGTGTAGGGTCTGGGCGAAGGTGTCTGCAACTTCATTCCAGAAAGGCAGCTTCCACCTCTCTGGGTCTGTTTGTTTATCCCTGCTGCCTCTTCACTGGAGATTCATCCTTCTGAATTTGCCAACAGGAAGGTGACCTCTGGTGCGATGAGGAAGGAGAGAGGATGTGTCCTATAGGAGTGGTTTAATCATCACTTTCTACTGGCATTTGGAGATTTCCTATTTAATCAGTAATGAAAGTGCCTGGCAATTAATTCAGTAGGGCTCTCAGTGCCCTAAGCACTGCAGTGTTGGTTCTGCACAGACCTTCCTTACTTTCATTCCTTTTTGAGGAGCAATAAAGTTGCTGTGATTAATTGCAGAAGATACAGATTTCTTTCCAGGTTCCCCATGGCAAGTGAGACTCCTTGGTTTTAAACTTGGATGCGTGCACTTTGTGATAGGCAAACTGGCGGTGCCGACTGGGGAGAAGGGAAAATAGGGGAGGGCAAATATTAAAAATCTTTGCTTAGGTTGGAGATTCAGCACTGCCTTGGCGTGGTGCCGGCTGCAGTCGCAGCAGAAGAACCTCTTGTATTTAGCCCCAGAGGAGTCCCTAATTAGCGGAGAAACTGCAGAGCTCTGAGCATGTTTGGGAATGCTTCAGTGCAGTGGCCCCCTGAGGTTCATTAAACAAATGAATTCAAAGCAGTCAAACAGCCAGGATCTTCAAAGTGATGAGGAGTTGGGTCCCGGGGAGAGCAGCACAGCCGTGAAAGCAAGCTGGCATTGCAACCAAACTGCCTTCCCAAATGGGTGAAATAAAGGCACCCAGATCCCCGCAGGACACCAGGAACTCCTGAACTGCCAGGCTTACCATGCCGCTTGACATGAGAATGTACATCAAAAACCCATTTAGGAGCTGCCTATTCAGTCCTGCCTCCTCCTCCATCCCTCCTCCTGCAGCACGGGAACTGCCGTGTGCAGGCACCGCAGAGCAGTGGGATTGGGGCTGCCCCCTCCTCGTGCCTCAGAAGATCTGAAGTCTGTGCAAGCCTGGGTCTGGTAACACGTGTGACAGTTATTAATGGAAGTGTCAGCAAACCCAAAGTCAAAGGAGATGAGGAATTGCTCACACTGACACACAAATGGGAAATAGAAAGGATGGGGACAGTGGGAGGCAGGCACAACAAATTGCCTGGGGCACAGCTGCGCTCGCAGGGAGAGGAATCAGCAATTTGGGCACTGGGCAGAATTTGAGTCTCATCGAATCACGGAACGGCTCAGGTTGGAGGGGAGCTCAAAACCCACCCAGTGCCATCCCTGGCCATGGGCAGGGCTGCCCCCCACCAGCTCAGGCTGCCCAGGGCCCCATCCCACCTGGCCTTGAGTGCCTGCTGGTGTCCCAGTGCCAGCTGCAAGGAAAAGAACCAGACCAGATACCTGCTCCCTGGGTTGCCTATCCCAATAATTTGAGCCCTGATTTAAAGAGGAAAGTGTGTATTCTTCACAGGCAAAAAACCCAGCAGGTTCTAATCCTTGCTTTTAGCCTCCCTCTCCCAATACAGGGTTTCCCAGCATCTCTAACTATGCAAAACACGTCTCTTCTTCAGATAAAAAAGGCAATTTTCCACTCGGGCAGCAGGAAGCAAAGTGCAGATTACAATACCTGATGGTGTTTTGGAGGAATGCTAGCATGTCCCTCTCCCCTTATGACAAGGTTGTTATTGGTGCATGACAAGGACGAGCAATAGGATGTCTGAGCCATCAGCCACAATGTGGAGCGAGGGACTGCTGGCACCCGGAGCTCTGTGGGGAGCAGGGAAACCCAAGGACAAATCCATGGGCCTGGGAGGAAAGGCAGGGCCAGGGCATTGGCAGCTGAGCAACGGGACTGATGGCTCAAAGTATATTAAGATGCCCAAATGTACAAAGATATGGATGGCATTCACTTCTTCAGGCCCCTCAGGACACACAGGAGCTGGCTTTAACCTTGTTAGCCCAATTCCTGGCAGTGTTAGTAAAGATGGATTTACCTTCCTGAAAGCCCATAGCCTGTCTTGGGGCTGAATGCGGTGCAAGATGGAGTATGAGTTGTGATGATGTGTCTTCTTTTATGGTTTGGCTGGAACATTTCATCTGATGAAAGCAGAATCATTTCTTGAAACTGTAGTTTAACCATCGGCTGCAAATCAGGCTTCAACAATGGCGAGTCCAGCAGTGGCACCAACACGCAGCAGCACCTCTCAGCCCTCCTGCCTTCCCCAGGTCTCTTCTGCTTCCTCCCTGGGCACTGCAGAGCCTTTGTCAGCATTGATTGAGTGAATTGCTGGAGCTGAACGATGTGTGCTCCCTTTTCCAACCAGAGAGCACCTCTGCTTGCTGTTGATAAATTATATGTAAATTACCTTCCATTTCTTAGGTGCTAACATTAAAAACAGGTACAAAAATACTCTCCACCACGCTGTGAATATCAATGAGGTTCTTTGTTTTTACTGGCTTGAGACAATGATGTTTGATGAAGGCTCATTTGAGAGAGATGCTGTGTTCCAGAGATACCTTCAAAGTTACACAAATGCAGCGAGGGCAGCCTGAAGCACTCATTGTCCCTCTCTCATTATATCCTTGCAGTACGGATGTAAATTGGGCACTGGTGGTGGTGAGGAGCAGTTTTGTTGGCTATGGGTATGGTACAAAAGCTCTCATCAGTACAAATCCCAGTGCTCTGTGCTTGGGACTGTGCATTGGCAAATGCTGTCTGCATTCAATTATTCACTCCTCCGTCTACCCCCTTCATTCCTTCCCTTTGTCCATCAGCACAGACCAGTGTTGTAGCAGAAAC